TATTGTTCATATATATGCACCTTGAATTTACATCAATAAATTGATAATGTTAATTATTTAATTAGTACTTAATTGAGTTAAAATGTTTAATTATTCAGAATAATAAAAATAGATTAATTACAAATTTAGATAAGATTACTATATACATTAATACATGTATTAGTCTTACTATAATAATCAGAAAATATATCATTTCAAATGTCTTGATGTATTATTATTTTAATTAATACGATTAAAAAAAATAAATAATTTTCTTAAACAAGATTTGAATTATAAACATAAGGAAAAATTAATATAATAAAAGAACTTAGAAAATAAAAGTATTATTTGAGAATGTATAAATATACATGATTTGATTGATTTGATTTAATAAATTTGTTCTACAAAAAAATGGCTATATTTATTTGGACTTTTGATGCAACTGAAGCTTTAATAAATCTTCATTATAAATCAAGTGATGAATTTGAAAATTCTTTTAATATTGAGCATACTGTTATCTAGGAAAGAATAGCAACAAAAATTAATAATATTAATCCAATTCAAATTATAGGCAAATAGTATCAAGTAAAGTTTAATACACTAATTCATAATTATGAAAATGAATTAGAATTGAAAAGGATTTCCAATAAGAAGTCTAAATCAATTTGATGTTGAATTTTATCAAATGATAAGAAAGGAATTTTAGTTATCTCAAGGTATTAATGATAGTTTAATTTAAATTTATTGTTTGTTTTAAATAAATAAATATTTATGTTTATTAATTTATTAATTTATTTTTAGATAAAATATAGCATACATATTTGAGACAAAGAATAAATAAATGGTGATTTGAATTTAAAAAATGTAGGCATTCTTGAGATTAATCAAAAATAGAAGTAGAAAATATAAGCATTCTCAAAATTGATCAAGAAGTAGAGGTAGAAAATGCAGGTATTCTAAAGATCAATCAAAAAGTAAATCAATCCTAAGGGAGGAATAGAAGGAAAAGAAGAAAAAATTAAATTTTTTTATATTTTTATTTAGTTTTAGTATTTCTAGTATTTTTATTATTAGTTTTAGTTTTTTTATTTTTTTTATTTTTAGTTTTATTATTTTTATTTTATATATATTTTTCTATAAATTTGAGTAGCGAGATCCAGTTCATATCAAATATTAGCATCAATTAATAATAACTACCTTTGAGTTTTTGGGCATTTTTTATTAAGAAAATAACCAGTAAAAGTCGCATCTGAATTGTTAGAAGCAACTTTTAAAAATACAATAAAACCAAACCTGAATTGTCAAAAATGAATTTTATTAGAAAAATGCTAATAAAGTTGCTTCCGACAGTTCAGGTGTGATATTTGATATAAAATATAGTCACATTGAATAGTCAATGCTACGAAAAAATAATAACAATTGCATTTGAACTGTCAGAGGTGACTATTCTTGTAAAAAATAATAAAAAGTCGCATCCGAACTGTCAGGGTGACTTTTAAAAAAAATGATGTTAACGTCGCTTTCGATAGTTCAGCTGCAAATTTTGTTATCATATTTTATAATAAAAGTCACTTTCAACAGTTCGGATGCGGCTTTTACTATTACTTTTTATAATAAAAATCACCTGAAAGTTCAGATGCGACTTTATTATCATATTTTATAATAAAAGTCACCTCTAACAATACGAATATGGCTTTTATTATTATTTTTTATAATAAAAGTTGCCTGACAGTTCGGATACGAATTTATTATCATTTATTCTACAAATATAACTTCTGACAGTTCGAATGCTTTTTCTAATAAAGTCGCACCTGAATCATCAGAAGCAGTTTTATTATCACATCCAAACTTTTAGAGGTGACTTATATTAGTATTTTCTAATTAAAGTCGCATCCGATAATTCAGATGCAGCTTTTATTATTATATTTTATAATGAAAGTCGCTTGACAGTTCAGATGCGACTTTATTATCATATTTTATAATAAAAGTCACCTCTGACAGTTCAGATGTGACTTTATTATCATATTTTATAATAAAAGTCACATCTGACAGTTCAGATGCAGCTTTTATTATCCTCTGATACTTTGGGTTCAACTTTCCTAATAAATTCACATCTAAAATATCAGAAGTGGCTTTTTTTATATCATCTGAACTTTCAGAGGTGAATCTGTTAACATTTTTTCTATTTAAGTCTCTTCCGTCAGTTCAGATGCGACCTTTTCTAATTAAGTCACAATCGAACTGTTAGAAGCGGCTTTTATTTCGCATCTGAACTTTCAAAGGTACCTTTTGTTAATATTTTTTATAATAAAAGTCACCGACAGTTCGGATGCGACTATATTATCATTTTTAATAAAAGTCGCCTTGATGTATGCACACTTTAAAAGATCAGAATTAGCTTTGTTTCAAAACTGAACAGCAGTCATTCAAAGCGATCTTGCTGTAAAACTTTGGCTAAAATATTGGCTATTGATGACAAAAACTATGGTAATGGTATTTAAGGATTCTTACACGAAAGAAGAATATGGCGAATTGCGTGACTACTTATATAATGAGCGAGTGCTTCTATAACAGATATTATTATTATTTAAACTATAGCATTACAAAATCAATGAAAACTAACAAACGAAAAGAGACATACTACTAAATGCTTTATTTGTAATAATTTATTAATTTTATTCATTTGAACATATATTGCATTTATTACTAATCTTACTAATAATTCATTCATTTACAAATAGGCATCTAGTTTTGCATGCAAAGAATTATGCGACGTTATTGAACACAAGCATCAGAATAAAAGAGATGGTACACTGAATATTCAAGAGCGTTGTATCCTGAACGAATCTAAAAAATGTGAGCTTAAATTTATTAAAGCATTACACCACATTATTTGCGTTACAGCATTTATTAGATGGTGACATAGGCTTACGGTTTTCCACATCGAACAGTGGCTTTATGAACCTTTCAAGACATTTGAAGCGCTTGATAAGCGACTGGTTCATTACTAAAGAAACAATTGAATTAAGAATGATGCAAGTGAAGATAAATACAATTAATACAATATTTTTATTCATTCAACACTTTATTACATTTATTAAACATTAATTTATGTTTATTTAACTCTAAACTAATTTAATTACTTTCTTATTTGTCTAAAGTTTACTCTTCGAATGACGCATTTTTAATATAACTAATATAACATTAAAGAAATGTAGAGATGTTGAAACATCGTTATTGTTGAATATCCTGAATATCCTAACGGAACTGAAGCTAGCTTACGAAGATTTAGGAGACAACTCTGCAATACTTGACAGCACCTCATCATTCTTTGGATACGCAAGTTTCCTTTTGAAAAAAGAAAACGACGATACTGTTCTATGTCATTTACATATTGGGGATATTGTATCGATCAATATTGAAGATGGAGAAAATTTTGCGATGATAAGAGCAATATTCTGCCATAAAAAGAATAACCTTCGATTTGCGTTTATTATTGTCTATTGGTTTGAGAAGTTAAATCAAAAAGTTCTAGGCTGCCCAGTATGCAGGTTAATAAGAGGTCCGAAATATAAGGCTTTTCTCTATTAATTTAGTGAATGCAATTAGCATTGCACATTTCGTTCACAGTTGTAATGTGACGGAGATGATCACGATTCTAGAAATGATTTGTATATACGAAATTTATATTTATTTAAAGCTGTTTAATGTTTAAACTATGTTTACATAACGTTAATAATTATTTTACTATTTTTGTACTACCCGGTTAAATCAGGTGACGATCTCCTTGATATGAATCAACTCTATACATACGAATTGTGACCAAATCTTGGTTATAAGGTCTATGATAAGTTTTTAACTTGGTCTCGGTATGGTTTCGATTTGAAAAGTTTCTGCAAAGAAGGATTGGTTTCAAAACATTTGGTAACAACTTCCAGGTAAATATCTAAATATATTAATTTAACAATAAATTAGTTTTTTATTTTATTATAGAAGTACATTCTCATAATAACAAAAAAATTTGCAAGATTGACTAACCTGGGAGGTATATTCTTTGTTATCGGCTTCCATAACTGCTACTGTTTCACAGATCACGAAACTTGAATTGTGTAACTTAAAATCAACAGGTACTTCTTAATAATAGGGAATTACATAAGTATGTATACTTTGTGAAAGAAAGTGTGAAAAAAAGAGAGTAAAAAAAGTGTGAAAAAGAAAGTGTGAAAGCCGTGTGTATGGGAAAAAATGATAAACCGATAAAAAATTTATCAGTGCGACACGAAACTGTTATCTAATTTGTTATACCGACAGGCAGTTATTTTGACAGCTGCGCCCATACCGTCGGCGTAACCTGTCACAGGTTTCTGGTTAGGCTATTGAAATTACTGCAAAATCAATCTAATTTTTTTTTCAACAGATTTTCAAGTGCCTTTTAAAAAAATTTATTATATATTCTAACGTTACCAGTTCCTTTGTGTATCATTTTTTCGATCATCATATATTATTGAAAAAGTTACGTACTTCAACATAAATTTTACTCAATCAAAACAATTTTTTTTTTTTTTTGAAACAAACCATTATTTTGAAGGAACTTGGGTAGCATTCATTATTTCCTTTAAAAATTACATTAGGGCGATATTTCTATTTGTACATTATCATAGCATCATCATTTAAATTAACAAAGGTGAGATATCTTACAAATTCCTATAAATTTAATACAGCAAGGACTAGCCCTTTTGCTAAATAGTTCAATTATACAGCTTTTTTAAAACAATGCTATTTCGTAAAACTGATTCACTTACTTTTTCTATAAATTTAATATTCCAGTTCAGTTTTCAACGTCTGATGAATATAAATGATCTCGTATTTTATTTTGCACGTCACGTGAAGAGATCTTACAATAAAAATGATAATTTATTTATCATGATATTTATAATAATACAAGTAGTAAATAAATAAAATTTGTCGAATAATATAAAGATAATATTATAATTCGCAAAAAAAAGGAAAAGCATTCAAATTCACTTATTTCCAATAATCAAGTTTTTCATGGTTTTGACAATAGATTCATCACTATTTCTTCTTTTTTTTCTTGCAATAACTTGAGCCCTCGTAAATACTTTCTGTTCACCATCGAACACACCGATGCAAGGAAATCCACAAATTTCCACCTCCAAATTTTTAGCTTCATCACGTCCGAAACTTCCTCGCATAAAACGAACGTCTATGGCTTGACCAGCTTGGAAAAATTTATGCTGCAGTTCGGAAGCTTGTGTTTTTAAGCGAAAACAAAAAATATTGATAACTTCACGAGTAATTGTAAAAGCTAGGTCATTTAATTCATCGCTAGTTTCTTTTTCCATCACTTGTCTAAATTGATTCATTTCATTCAACAATTTATTTGCCGTTCTTTTAATTAAAGGATTTTCATTATCGAAAAAACCGCGACAACCAAGTGCTGAATAAACATATTGACGAATTTTGATTGGCGTTACTTTAGAGATATCATCACTTCCTTTACGATTATCTCTTAATAATTCGGTATATTTGATTAAACTTTCGGTGGTATTTACAATATCACTTTCAAGAGGATCAATGTTGTCAGTACGTGCATTTTGTAAATGTTTTTGTACCTCGTCCAGGATTGTTGCGATCGTGCAACGTTGAAGTACCGCTCCTAAAATAAGATCTGCGTCCGTACTTGGATATTTCCCTTGACAATTATAATTCTTTAATATGCTTGTTGCTGCATCTATGTTAACTTTAAAATCACTTCCCTGAACCATTGTAAAATCTGAAAGCATATCCTGTAATTCTTCAATATCAGCAATTAACTTTCCTGTATTATTGGAATCATCATCATCCCAAGATACATTTATTATATTGCCAAGAGCCGCTTGTTGTTGTGAATTTTCTTCTTTCAAGGTCTTAATTTGTTCTTTTAAATCATTTACAAATTCTTCTTCTCTTTTATTTGATTTTTGAATTCTATTCGCAAATGATCGAAAGGAATTCATTCTATGATAAATCGTTTGTCTAAGACACATTTTTTGCTCCATCGTTAAACGTTTTAATTGCTCCTCGAAAGCATGTGAGTGACGTAATTTGTAATCTTCTAATTCTGCCCAAGCATTGTCGGCAAACCTTTTTTGCAGTCCATGATTGTCGTTAAAACGAGATTTTTTATATTCTATTAAATTGCTAATACATACGCCTCGTTGTGTAGAACCAAGTGCCTTTAAACCGGCCAATTCTTTTATGGACGCAACCATATCATTGGTATCTTTAATGAATTCTTGTAAAATTTGTGGATTTTGCAATGAAATAGAATCCCAAATTACTATAAATAAATATACAAAGTTTTCAACTTTTTCTAAGGAAGCCAACCACCTGAATAACTTCCATTCAAAAAGATCGATGAATTCTAACGTATATAATGGAGTGTCGTTATTCCGCATTAAATGTTGTTCTTCTTTTGATTCTCTCTGCTTGAAAACGTTATTATTCGTGGTGGATGTATTTCTCTCCGACATGATTTTAAATAATATGTTAAAAAAAAGTAGAGATTTTTTTTTTTAAAAAAAATAAATTTGAAAGAAAAAAATTTGTGAGACATCATGTGAAAATGTTGTATGATATTATGATTAGCGTGCATATATGCGAGGCGTTTCTTATTTAAGAAATGTAGGCCCCCTTGTTTTTCATCTTTCTGGAATAAAGATAATGAACATAATGAAATTTATTGTTTATCGAACGAGATTATCTTTCTCGGGCGTCCCTTATTTAAGAAATGATGACTCTTTAAACATTGTATAAGTATTTATTAAGTAAGATTATGAACTATTTTTAGAATTTTGCTTAGAATTTATAAATTCCAAAGTACAATCAAATTTGTTAAAATAGTTTTATCTTCCAATTGTTGATAAATTATGGCTTTGCATGATGTTAGAATTCTTGTTGCAATAGACTTTGGAACAACTTATTCTGGTTTTGCGTATGTCCATAAGGCAACTCCTGAAAGCGTTACTATACACTGTTCTTGGTAACTATGTTATTATCGTAATAATTGTTAATTATGTTACAAAAAAAAAGTAAATTTACAATTGTTTCAATTATTAGGCCAGGACAGGAAGGTGAAGGTAGATTTAAAACACCTACGGCATTGCAATATGATGAAAATTATAGTAAAATTACGGGTTGGGGATATTCGGCATTGGAAGAAGAACCTGATGAAGAATTAGATGATCAAGAAGGAAAACGTTCACGCCCCGTGGAATTATTTAAATTGCATTTATCGGAATTACAAGATCATGAAAAACCTTGGTTACCCGCCCAATTGAGTTATACCAAAACCATTGAAGATTATTTATCTCAAATGAGAGGACTAATCAAAGAAACTCTTGAGAAACGATGGCCTTCTTTAAAATTTCCTCAACAAGTTGATCTTGTATTTACAATTCCTGCTGAGTGGGTACGTATGTGACCGAATTATTTCAAATAATTTTTTTTTATTTATTAAAACATTGTTTTCGTTGTCATAGCCTCCAAATACAACCAGAATTATGAGGGAATGTGCATATAACGCAGGATTGTTGACTTCCCTAAATTCAAAGAATATCGAATTTACTACTGAACGTATGTCTATTACATTTGACTTATCATTTATTATTATATTATTCTCTTTAATCGTAATATTGCACCCATTCCGTCAGCCGAAGCTGCAGCACTTCACTGCCTTACTGTCGTTAAGGAACATAATTTAAAACCTGGAGGTATGTACTGTATTCTTTTGATTGGTTTGTTAAACTAACTATAATATTAAAAAATGAGTTATTAACATAATGAATAATTTTTTTTCCTTAAATAGATACTTTCTTAGTAGCCGACTGTGGTGGTGGTACAGTAGATTTAACATCACGAAAACTTCTTCCAGAAAATAAATTGAGTGAAATTACTGAACGAATTGGTGAACTATGTGGTAGCACATTCGTTGATAAAGAATTTTTACAATGGCTTGGAAGAAAAGTAGGATTTCCAGCTTTAGAAAAATTAAAATCAAATAACTACGGGCAAATGCAATACTTAGTACAAAGATTTTTTTGTCAACGTATCAAATTTAAATTTAATGGAGAATTGGCAAATTTTAAAAAAATAAAATTAAATTTAAAACAGTATTGCCCTAATTTATTAGAATTTGTTGAAGAGGAGTACAAACAACAAATGGAAAAAGATTCATGGATTATAAAAGTCAACTTTGATGATGTTAAAGATATGTTTGATCCTGCCGTTTATCGAATTATAAAATTAATCGGTGATCAAATAAATTCCTCGCGTGAAAAATGTTCAGCAATATTTTTGGTGGGGGGATTCAGTGAATCCTCCTATTTGCTACGTAAGATTAAAGATAAATTCAGTACACAAGTTTCCATTATTGCTGTACCAAATTTACCCATATCAGCAATAGTTCGAGGTGGCATCGCGTATGGTCTCAATGTCTGTACTATTCAAGATAGAACGTTGAAGTGGACATATGGAGTTGAGGTTAATCGTCAATGGGTATATATATATTTTGTTTTTTTTTAAAATAAAAAGATTTAACATTTAACATTTTAATTTTATATTCATATATTATATTGTATAGATTTCTGGTAAGGATAAAAAAAACAGAAGAACAGAAGATGGATACATACTTTATTTCCATAAATTGGCGCAACGTGGTGCAAAGGCTAATGTTGATCAAAAATTTGTGGGAGAATTTTATCCTTCAAGACCAGATCAAGAAATTTTAACCTTTAGCATTTATTTTACTAAAAGATACGATGCAAAATTTTGTGATGATCCAGGAATGAAATTATTAGGAATCCTAAAAATTAAAACAGATGATACTCATTTGGGTTTAAATCGTCCTATTGAATTTGCTCTTACCTTTGGTAAAATGGAAATCAAAGCCACTGCCAAAAATAAAAAGAATGGTAAAATTTATCAGGAATCTAATTTTGAATTGAACATTTGATGGAAGTAAATTGTTACTAATCAAATGTTTGGTAACTTACTTTATATTTCTTTATGTATAATTTATATATTATCTCGTATATTTAAATAAAGAATATTTCATATTATTATGTATATTATAGAAACGTGATTTATTTATTCAATTTCCGCTTTAAATATTTTATATGAAAATTCTATCGAGTAAATATACAATTTCTCATTCTTATATTTGACTTGGAAAACTAAGGTATTTGGGATAAAACCATATTCGAATTTCCATTTTCCTGATCTAAGAAGTAAAGAACCATAAGGTGTTGGTTGCTCTAGAAGATAACTGAATTTAAAAGTTTGCTAATACTTTTTCTTGATCATTTTGAACATATAAACAAGATGGCGTACGTGGTGGTCTTCCAAAATCTAATGCCATATTATTTTTATTATTTTCCATTTCTATGCCAATTTCTTTCCAAGATTATTTAGATAAAACAAAAGGAATTGAATTATTTAAAGTATCATCTTTAATAAATCGACCACTCCACAATTTAAACATACTATATATGGCGCAACATTTTCGAAAAATAAATGCATGATATCAACCAGAAAAGATCTTGGAAATTCTATAGAAAGTAATTCAAAAAGAATACTCTTTCCATTTATTCCTATAAAGAAAATAATTAATTTAATTATAAATTAAATATTAATAAATTATAATAATTATTTATATTTACCATATTTTTGTATTAAAGATTTCT